GGTTACCTGGTTTTGTTTTGGAACCTTGCTGATAACTCAGGGCAGCTGCAATCCTCATTGTTATGGCAGACCCGCTCTCCCTTTCATTGCTAATCATTGATTAATTAGGAAATGGGCCTGCATTCATCTTCCCCCCCCTTCTTGAAAATGAAAAGTTGTCTGACTCACTCACAGAAAGGGAGAAATCTTTGGAAAGCAAAACTTTCCAAAGTGGCTGTGGATTTGATTCCAGTAAATTCCATGCAAACTGTGAAAACAGTTCATAAAAACCCTTTTCTGTGCATCTGTTTGAGTAATAAAGTGGATGGTGTGAGGCACAACTCTTACACATTATATAGGCTCTGAGATTCTTCTCAGCTTATAGCTGAATATTTAATCATGTTTAATATATATATAAATATATTTAATATTTAAGTCATCCACACATTTATGGCACCACAACAACCTAGTGAAGAACAAGATGCTGCCATTCAGCTCTAACTGAACAACACTTCAGAGTTGCCTTATTTATAATTTCTTGGTACAACAAGAGAACAAATTGGTGGCTTTTCCCACTGACAAGTCAATTCTGCTTTCCTTCTGCAAATCTTTCTTTTACTTCCCAGCAAAAAAGCACATTGTCCTGTTGCTAATACTGTTAAACACATCCATGTTTTCCTCTTGGACCTCATGATTTTCACAACAATAAAAGTCACTCACCACAGGAGCCAGCTTTTGGTTATCAGCAGAGATATTGGATAAAAGTAGCAAGAGATTGGGAACAGATATTGGATGAAATTGGGATGATGAAGAGCAAGAAGATAAAAGATTACATGAAAGGTGTTTCAGAGAACATCCTTCTGCCATGGAAGGAAAACATCTCCAGGTTTGGGAAGTGTTCAGAGACCTCTCAGCCTGTCCCAGAGATGGAGAAGAGGAAGAAAAGGGAGATTGGGAGGGATGCAGGGAGGGAAGAGAGGTAGGGATGGAGGGAGGAGGGAAGTGAGAGGAAGGAGAGAAAGGAGGAAAGGGAAGAGAGGAGGTAAGAAAGCAAAGGAAGAAATGAAAGGAAAAAGAGAGATGATGGAAAGAAGGAGAAAACATGGGGATTTTTGCTTGTGCTGCTCCTGCACATCTGAGGATCTGGAGAGTTTTGCTTAACTGAATATTATTTTTATTCTTTCATAAATCAAAAATCCCCACCCCTTTTTTCCTTGGAAAATATGTACAGGGCAAGTTTTGACAGATCCCTTTTGTCTACCACTGAAAACAGAAGTCATGTATTTGCCATTAAAAGGTCTTAGGGAGAAAACAGATTTTTTGAGAACTGAAAGCCCCTTTTAAGGTGGCAAATGGTGAGGAGGAGGAAGTAGTTTAGAAGGGAGGTTTCTAATATTTGCTTTCATCAGAGCTAAAAGCATTTGGTGGGATTTGGTGGGATTTGGTGGGATTTGGTGGGATTTGGTGGGATTTGGCCTTTGCTTACCTTATCTGTACAGACAGGCTTGCATTTCATTTAAATGACCTTTTGCAGAACATGAGGAGCTTCCCCCTAAACTTTGCCTTTCCCTTGGCCTCTGAAGGACCCAGCCTGGAGCACAAAGGGAGCTGCTGCTGCTGGAGCCTGGCGTGGTTTGGGCTCTCAGGTCATCCAGATGAAAACCCTGCCTTCACTCCAGGTGAGGGGGAAAGCAGTGGACTCTGGAAGATGGAAAAACCACAGGATACCTTTGCCTGCACCAAATCACACCTGGAAACACAATTTCCTGCTCATCACACAGCCAACACAGCCAGAGTGGCACTGGAGATCAACTGGAGGACACAGGTCCCTTCCATCAGCCCAGAGGTGCCAGCCCTTTGTGCAAGGACATAAGACATGCCATGGGAATATGAAGAAACCTTCCTGGTGCTTGGAGGCATCAGGATTTATCTAGTTTGGGGCTGAGCAGAGGAGTGAGCACTTAGAGCTGTATGGAAAAACCCAACATATCCTTTTTCCTCCTTTCCCAAGCCTGTTTAAACTGTGTAATCTCTCGGGGAGTGGAGCAGGGTTGCCCCATCCAGCAGAGAGAGCTGCACAGACCTGCACAGAGCTGCTGGCAGCGATTACCCGGGCACTCCCTGCAGCTGCACCCTCCCAAAAAACATCTGTGCCTCTTTGCAGGAGGAGTTTCACTCTGCTCTGGAGTCTCCACTGGCTGCCCACCATGGCTGGCTCAGAAAAGGCTCCCTGGCTGGGAGGGGAAGATGCTGGGATGTGCAAAGGGGTGTGAACGTGGGGAAAACCTGAGCAAAATGCCACCAGAGCTCACCTGCTTCCTCCTCTGTGCTCTGAGTGCACCAAATCTCTCAGGTAAATGGCTGAAAGAGCTTCACTGACTCCAGTCAGAAGACAGAGAGGCTGTGAGTAACAAATTCTTTTGTTCTTTTGTTCAATATGCCTCGGCAGCTCTGAAGCCAGAGGAGAACGGGGTCAGGTGATCCTGAATTTTTATTCTTTTTCTAAAATGAATATCAGAAAAAGCAAATATCAGAAAAAGGCAACCTGTATATTCAGTTCTTCAGGTAATTTCTGAACTCTAAAGGGAAGTTTCAGTTGGAAGGAATTGAAGTGATGCTGTATTTGTCTCTGCTCTTTTGCTGTTCTGTGAGAAGCTGAACTCTCTTCTTCCAGTGCTGATCACTGAGCACAGGGATGCTCTGCCTCTGGAGAGGATGCAGGGTCTGAGAGGAAGGATATAAACTGCTAATTAATAGCTCAAATCACTTCTCTGAGGGTCTCCTTTACCCTGGAAGGAGGCTGTGCAACTGGCAATCTGCTTTTTCAAGTAAATGCTACACCCCAGACCCATCCAGAGGAGCTTGGTCTCAAATCTCCTGACTGCACTTCAGTGTTTGCAGTGGCAGTCCTCTACAAAGCAAACATGGCTTGCCAGAGTGCTTGGGTTTTCCCTGGTCCAGGTTTCCTAAATGTGCCATTTTAGCTTGTGCCAACAACATTCTGGTTGTCTTGTGCTCCAATTTTTTTTTCCTCTGCCTCAGAAAAAATAATTTTACAGCTGCTTTGCTATTTATAGATCTTAGATGCTCAGACAGAATCCAGTGACAGCATCAAGTGGAAAGTTTGTTCTGAACAATAGGGAAGATCATGGCAATTGTGTTCTAAAAGATGACACAGCTGGGGAACTATTTTTTAAAGAAATGTGGGGTTGTTTTTGCTATGTTTTTGCTGAAGGCCTGGCTACCTGAGTGCTGCTTGTGTGGGTAGTGACTGCCAGCATCTCACACCGTGACAGGGAGTGGGAGGGAAAGGTGGGATAACTTACACTGCCATTCTCTTGGCCTCGACCTGAAATACAAAAATTCATGTCCCAGTCTTCTTTCTGAGCAGAGAACATTTATTTGGTTGAATGTTTCTGCCCTCAGCTGCCCCTGTGGCTGTGCAGAGCAGACACCAGGTCAGAAGAGTGTGTTTCTGTCTAGCCCAGCAGTCTGGGTTTGATTTGGGGTGCTGGGGACAGGATTTGGGATGTAGCAGGGTCTTGCTTTTTGCTGTGAGTTTGAGTAATCAGCAGATGAGGGAGGGATGTCCCCAGAGCCTGCAGGCTGGAGTTCTAGACAAAAAGATTTTAGCATAATTTATTATCTTTGTTTAAATTGCTATTTTTAGGACTTAGAGATGTATGGCTTTCATTTTCAACATTTAGCTAAAAAAGAAATGCCTTTATCTTCCCAGGATGTTCTAGACACTATTTTCTTGTTACCAGTGTTTAGAATTCAGAATTCCCTTGTCAGATTCCCCTCCACTGAAATTTCCTCAAATGGAAATAAAATGAAATGGAATACAGAGCATGCTGAAAGATACAAAAAGCTGGTGGCATTGTTGCCCTCCAGATAAGAAAAAGAAGATTAAACAACACCATGACTGGAACTTAAAAAGCCAATGCTTGTTACCACAACAGGAAGGACTTCTCAGCCTTATATATAAAATTTTAAAGGATATGCCAGGTAAAGCACTCCTCAACACTGTGCAACACCAAGTCTGAGGTTGCTGCTTGATGAATCCCTGAAAGGAGGTAATATTATGAATAAAAAGGTAATTGTATTAATATTTTTACAGTGTTCACATACACTCAGCAGTAAGTAGTGGTGATAGTAGTGATGAAATAACAGCAAGAAATGGGGAAATATTATATTGTTCTATATTCACAGAGCAACAAGGATATTAAAATCTATCCCAGAGGAATGGAACTTTATCAAGGTTTATTCAAGGTATTTTAAACTGCAAAGTAAGACAGACAAACGTACTAGACTTGACCATGGTTTTTTCTTAATTGTAATTCTCTAACACAAAGAGAATAAAAATACTAAATTAAAAGGATCATCACCATTCTAAATGGAAATGTATTCTCTGTGTAACTCATTAAATAGAATATAGTGCTGATAGGGTAGGAGACAAAAACACTGTTTACAGAGAAAATGCCATCTCTTTGGCATGACTGGAGACATTAGGGTGAGAGTCACTACCCTGGCTTGAATGAGTGTAGTTTGGCTTTTTCTGTGAGGCTGCTGGTGAATCCAAATCCAGCTGGAAATGTGGCAGCCCTGGGCTCTCAGCCCTCTGGGTCCTGCCTGTGCTCTCTGTCCAGTTGTCTCCTGCACTTTGGATGATTATTGTTTCCTATTCTTTCAAAATGAACAAAGCAGAGCTGATGGATTATTTCAGCATTCAAACAAAGCACTTCACTGTTTGTACTCAGTGCTGTTTATATAACCTAGAATTGTCTTTCCTCCCACTGTTAAACTTGTATTTGTTACAATTGTTTTGTGGGCTGCTGCAACAGATGGGTGGGAGAAACCACAAATATAATTTGCTTGGCTACGACACAAGATTATCAAATCAAAAGTACTCTGGAAAAGCATGAACCTCTCCTCCAAACTACAACTTTCAGCATATAAAATGCCAAACAGAAAATCAGTGAACTGCTTTGATAGAGGCACGTAGCATTGAGTACAGAGTTTTTTCCTACTGAAAGCAGGAGAGAATCCTAATTTCTGTATGAACTTTTGTGGTTCAGCTGAAGTGAGGTGGCAGTCACTGTGCCAGTAGAAGACTCACTGGTTTTGACAAGAAAAGAGTGCACAAAGCCAAGGATAGCCAGGAAATGAAGATTGGTCTCACCAGACAGGAAATAACCCTTGGGCCATTAAAAGACTGATAGCCCAATTCAGAACTCTCTGCTTTTAAAATAGGTTTCTAGACAGCTTAATAATATAGGATTTAGTACTATTGAATGCCAAAAAGTTTATATCAAAAATGTCCTAAAGTCAGGACTTGAAAAAACAGGAAAACCTTCAGTTCTAGTTCACCCCTGCTCAGACCTGGAGCTTGGCTGTGTCTGTGAGCCCTGCAGGGAACCAGTGCTTGTTGATGGAAATGAAATCTGGTGTGGAATTCACACTCAGGTCTGTAAATTCCAAAACAAAATATGGGAACCAAGGAAAAATAGCAAGAAATCTGAAGGCTGAGAAGTGTGAAGAGCACAAGAGACAAATGGGTGGTTGTGCTTTTCTTTTCCAACCTAGTTCATCCTGTGGTTCTGTGATTCTGCTGCAGTGGGAAGGTCACTAAAAACTTTGCTTTTTTTCATTTTTTAAAGACTAAAAATGCCCTGACTACAGTGCTCTGAGTGTATGGACCCTCAGCCTACCAGAACTGCTGCTGTGGCAGAGAGTGACCCTTCTGTTTTCTAAAGGATAAGGAAGAAAATTTCTCATCCCAGAGAAACCTGAATTTTATTTCAAAGAGCAGCTGAGCATTGTGTCAACAGACCTGTATGATTTGTGCCAAAGAATCAAAAGAGAGCTGGCATAATAGTTCCTCACATCATTAGTGATTTTATAAAGATATGATAAAGAAAATTAGACAAATATTGTTCTAATGCTTAAAAAAACATTGCTCATGGACTTGTCAGCCTGGTTTTGATCCTGGGTAGAACAACTGACAATTTACTGGTTAACTTTGTAAAAATGGCTCAGAAGAAAACACCCTTTTTAGTGGCAGTTAAAGACTATTGGATGACCAACATGGTTCAGTGAAATAAATTTAATTAAAAAGTAATCTTTAAGTAGCACATTGTGATAGCACATTTACCTTGTTTTGGGGAGAGTGCTCACAGGTGGGTTGATAGAAACCAGCCCATCCATTCCCCCCTCCCAGTGGCTCTTTGGGAGCCATGCCCTGCTGAGCAGAGAGAATGGGATTTTCCTGGGACTGGAAAGAAGCAGAAGTCTGATAAATTCCCACAGTGCAGTGCTGGATGTGTCCGTGGGGAATCCTGCCTCCTGTGCTCCAAACATTGCCAAGGATTTTACATCGAGATAGCCCAGGGTAAAATCAACCACCACCCCAAGCCATGCTGTGGAGACCTCTGAGGAAATAATTCCAGTTACAGAGCGTGGAATCAGTTTATTCTATTATCAGAGCATACAGCCCCTTCCACTGTCAGAACCCTGCAGTGTGGAAGGAGCTGGGATCTCCCACAGCAGCAAATCCAGCCTGGAAAGGAGCAGCACATTTGGAACCACGGCCTTCTTGGAACAGCTTGTGGAGTGCAGCAGAGCCAAGTCTGTTACTTGGCTTTGTTAAATCCAATTGGAGAGCTTGGCCTTTTCCTCCCACCACAAAAACTGGGGGGAAAGCTCTGCTGAGGTCACTGTCAGACCCATCAGCTTTAGCCAGGCAAGAAGGTGTCTGTCCTAAACCAGAACTGACCCAATATTAAAAATCCATCCAACTTTGGAAGTTATCCAATACTTCATGAGGAAGCAGTCCTCACTCACACAGAGGTCTTGGTCAGGCTGGTATAGTGATACAATGAAAAACTCTGAAATAAGGCAAAGGAACACTGCTCTGTCCTTTCTTCTGCTCTGTAAAATACTTCAAGCACTGAAGTGACTGTACTGAAATGAAGCATGCGTATTTCTGATGCAAAACAATTTGTGCTGTTCTAAGCTTTTCTTTTTCTTTTTTTTTCCAGTAAATACAATTTTTTTTTTTTCCTTTCTTTTGCTAGGAATTTTAGGAGGAGATGCTTTGTTGCCAGCACCTCAGAGTATCTCCATTCTTTCAACCAACATGAAACACTTCTTAACTTGGAGTCCTGTGATTGTCCAGGGAGCAACTGTGAGATACTCAGTTGAGTTTCAGGGGTAACTACTCAGTTTTTTCATTCTTTTTGCTTTTTGAGCATTGTTTATCTCAATTTTAAGTTCTAAATTTTTGGATGTCTTGATCACATTCAGTTCACAATCCTAAGCGAAGTTTGATGCTTTAGCACTGTTAATGAGAAGTGGGGGGGAAATTCCTTTTGTTCCAATTCTGGGACAGTTTTCAGGCTAATAGAAACCTGTGTGCATCAATTCCATATAAGAAATCTGCCTCTACCCAAGGATTCAAAAGTTAAGAAGGTTTACAACATTTTATTTAGAAGAGGAAGAGGAAGGAGAAAACATTGAGCTTTATTTCCTGCAAACCTTTCAAACATTTGACACGCACCACAGGAGGTTTCTGATACATCTTGAGCTCTGACTTTTATTCCAATACAGCTTTGGAACTGGGGATGAGTGGGCAGGGCTTGATGCATCAACCCAGCGTTGGCTGTCCCCACCTCCCACAGTTTCATGCTGCATTTGGCTCACAGACTCGGCTCGGGCTGATTTTCTCCAGCTGAGACCTAAACCACACCCACACAGGTTCCAAACACCTGTGGTGCTCCCTCCCCAGTGCATCCCAGTCCAGGTTTCACCTGGAAAGAAGCCACAAGCAGCCTTAGCTGGGCAGACAGAGCTCCTGCTGGGCTGCTGCCTGTCTGCTTCCTCTTCTCCGCAGGGAATACGAGCGGGAATACGCCAACGGGAGCTGGATCCCCATCTCGGAGTGTTCCCTCACCACAGCCACCGTGTGCAACATCACAGAGGACATCTCAGCCACCGTGGCCTACAAGCTGCGTGTCAGGGCAGAGCTTGGTGCCACCAGGTCCCAGTGGGGCACCACGAAGGGCTTCTTCAACCGCGCCACGAGTGCGTCCTGCCCCTAAACGACATCTTTGGTGTTCAATGCCAGAGCTGGGTGTTGAGGTAGCCTGAGGTGCCTGTTTGTGCCCAGTGCGTGGCACAGAGCCCACACCGAGCACCCCCTGCTTCTCAGCTCCCCTCACACTGGGTTGGGGGGTTTCACTTCTGAGACAATCTTCTTGGACATGAGTCCATCCCAAAGCAGAGCCAAATTCATCTGGGCTTGAATTTCAAGGGTTTCAAAGATAAGCAAGATGACTGCAGGAATTTCCTTTTGCAGGCTGGTCATTCTTACCCCTAAATTTAGAGATTTCTGACCAACTAGGTTTGCTGTCATTTAATCCAAGCCTTGTAGGCACCTCTAAGAGGTCCAGAACCTCATCCTAAGGGAGCTTTTACTCTAGAAAACAGCCCTGTCATGCTCTGTCTGCCCTGTACTGTCCTGAAAATCCCACTCCATGGTTCCCTCTTCCCATGGTGTCAGATCTGTGAAGTAACCTCAGACAAGGAGAGAAAGCTGGAACCCACAGCATTCATTTCATCCTAGCAATGCAGGATGTTTTCTCCATGTCCTTCCAAGTCCTGCGAAGCCTGAGGCCCAGCTCAACCCAAGGATCATGTCACAGCCTAAAATGAGTGTACTCCTTCCAGGATTTCTCTGGAATAATTTCCTCTGCCATTTAGTCAACTGCTTTCAGCAACAAAAGCTATGGTGGGAAAGCTCTGCTGAGGTCACTGTTAGATGGCAGCTCTCAGTCTGGGATGGGCAGCACCCATCAGCTTTAGCCAGGGAAAAAATTGTCTACACCAGAACTGACCCAATAGTAAAAATTCGTCCAACTTTGGAAGTTATTCTTTACCTCATGTGGGAGCAGTCCTCACCCACACAGAGGTCTTGGTCACAGCAGCACCATCAGAAGTGCCACCTAAGCTGGTGAATGCCTCCCTTTGTGTGGGAACATGGTCTAGAGAATGGTTTAGGCAAAAAAATCCTTTCCTTTTCCAGCAGCTGTGGAGGCACAGACTGCACTCTCAGGCAGAGACAGGGGAAGGACATCCCTGAGACTGACAGGAACAAAAGCAGCAGCTTCTCACGGTTCAGTGAAGTATTTGACAACTGGTCCTGTGTCTTAGGGACCCCAAAAGAGTCTTCCGGCTAGGCTGTGATGGTTCAGAGGCTACAGCTTGCTTTGGGATTCAATGGGAATGTGACAGATGTTTAAAAGAGAAAGAAAAGTCACTGTAAGCCCTTGTCCTTATGCATTTTTACTGCTCTGCTGTCACAGCTCTGAGGAGAGCTGGCAGTGAGTCTGAGAGGAGCTAAGGGATCCAAACACAGCCCATGGGTTCTGTAAGGGGCTCACAGCAGCACAGCCCACAGCTTCTCCAGACTGCACAGAGCCAAAGGGGTAGAAGCACATATTAAACACATTTCCATGTATGATAACACATGGGAAACACTGTGAAAAGATCTTCCTAAAGCAAACCATTTAGTCAGTCTTCCTTCTTCACTTCTCAACATTCAGTTAGTTGGTATCCAGTGTGCCAGCACAGAGCTAAATACAAATGCTCCTGTTTGTTTAGAAGCTGCATCTTGAAATGTCCTTTTCTTAATCCATTAGCACAATATTTGCTTTTAATGCTCCAGATGATAACAGTTATAACAGTTATAACAGATAACAGTTTCTTTTTAATTTTGAGACATGGTGCTGAGGAGATTTTTACCCTTTTTTTCAGCTTTTCATTTAAAAGTACAAAGTAGATTTCCAGGGCTCCCATTTGTGGCACACTCATCATGTACATGGTTGGATTTTATGTTTTCATATTGCTCAGTATTAGTGGCAATTCACTGGATGTAAGAGCAAATTCCATTAAGAGCATCTCATCTATATGGCACTATGCATCACTCTCCTTCCTTTCTTGAAAGCAAAGAAGTTGAAGGGGGTTTCAGCTGCAGCAGAGTGGTAAAAAATGGCATAGATAAGTGTGAATAATGGCACAGATAAATAGTGCAAACATGATCTCTGTACTACCTTGAACTTCCCAGTTCATAAATGTACAGTGCAGTTTCATCTATGCTCGATTGATTCTCGTTTTTTCACTAATATTCTTCTCAGCAGAATCCCAGACAAAACCAAGCTTTGAATATCAAAGCAAGCAGGAAGCAAATCGCCTCAAGATTTACTTGCATACATTTGCCAAACCTGAAGTCATGCCAGATCATCAGCCCAAGTCTGTCTGAAACCATGCAGACACTAAAAGAAAATCAGGATTCATGTGAATTACCCTGAGGCTCATAATAATGTTTTTTCCTTCGTGTTTGAATAACTGCCAAAACTCCCATGAAAAGCAGTGGTTTCTCAGCTCCTGTTCTGTGTGTCAGAGCTGAGCTCGTGCCCGGGAGCACAAGAGCTGACCTGATCTGGTGTCCCAGCTTCTGTAGCCCAGCTGCTTCTGCTGCAGCTGCTCTCGTGGTACCCTCAGGCCAGACAGCTCCTCCACTGGAGAAAATTCAAAGCCTTTCAAGTTCTGTGCAGCTCAGCTGTTGCCAAATCCCCATTTGCAATAGCAGTCATGGTCCTTCTCCTGCTGGAAGTCTGCTCCTGCTCTTGGACTCACAGGGAGGGAGAGCAGAGAGGTCTCTGCCCCACTGAAGCAGCTGGCTGTTCTTGCAATTTAATGGTGTTCCACTGGTGGTGGCAGCCTCTCCTCCTCTCCTGTCTGGGCAAAAGGGGGGATTTCAGGGCTGTCTCCGGGTGATAATGGTGCTCTCTGTGTTGGCAGCTTCCCTGACCCCACCCCTGCTGAGGGTGGTGGCGGAGGGGCACCATTTGCTGGTGGAGCTGGCAGACATGGGACCCTCCTTCCAGTTCCGGCTGCTCTACTGGAAGAAGGGCCAGGAGAGCAGGGTGAGTGTTACCCTCAGCTGTTAGGCAATAACAGAGTGGCCCAAGGGATGCACACAGACATTGCCCAGGGCCTGTCTGCCAGTCCCAGCTCCTGCTGTGGGGCTGAAGGACCTGCCTGGAGTGGGTTTGTGCCACCTCACCTCATGGAAAAGCTTGTTTGTTCTTTCCACATTTCCATCTCTGGGAAAAGCAATCCCCTCACATACCTCAGCTAGAGCTAGGAACCAGAAATCAGGAGCTAAAGGTGTTTGTTAAAGCTGACTTCTCCCTCTGAACATCATCTGGTCTACTCAGACCATGATTAAGGTGTCACACTGAGGTACTGACAAATTTTTCTCAGTTTTCTGAGTCAGAAATTCCAGCATTAGTAGTCCTTGATGGATTTTTATTCTATTGATTTATCTGTTCTGGCCTTCAATCTATGTAAACTTCTAGTTTGTACAACTTCCTGCAATGAGGAATTCTGCATCTTAACTGTTGTGCAGTCTCAGCCTTGGTTTGGGGATGAGAGAGAGAACAATAATTCCCCATCCATTTTCCCTACCACTCTATTAGTTTCATATTCTGTATCCTTCTCCAGGCCAAGGACTCCCAGGCTACTTAGCTGCTCCCTGTGGAAGCCCTCACAGGGTTCTTCAGGTTGTCCTTACCAAGGTGGGCAGGGAGAAACCTGCAGAGTCCAAGGTGCATGAACACTCTGTGTTAGCACTACAAAACAAAATAAGTCTTCCCACTCCCTTGTCTCTCCAGCAATTGTTAATGTGGCTGCCACAGAGCTGACAGTCCCATGGAACCTGAACCCCAGGTTCCTGCTTCTGATGGAGGATGCTGTGAAAATGTAGGAGAAAAATTCTCATGGGCACAATTCCACATTTATCGGTGTTGAATTGCATTTGTTGCTTTATTCCCAGATCCTCCTGCTGTTCTTCACAGTTGTCTGTCATCTTTACTATTGTGAAGTGGCTTTTTAGTACCACTAGCAGATATCAGTTTTCATTTCAATTCCTGATCACCTCTGCTAATATGTGAGTCCCCACCATGACTTCCTGCAATTCTCAATTAGCAATTTACTCATACAAAAGTCTTCAGTCTATACGGAGCCACCAGGAGCAGGACTGCCCACTGTAAAATCCAGCTAAATGAGCTCAGCCTTGTCCATGGGCTGACACCTTAAAACCAATCAATAGGTCTGTATCTGATTGTGTTTTATTAATAAAATATTAAATCTTCTTCGGTATGTGATCTTAATGACCTCAACATTAATCCCAAATTTCAGAGTACTTTCTACCAATTGGACTGTTGCAACCATTAGTTTTGCTGGTCAATACAAGTTCTATGCTGGTACTCTTACTATTTTTTAAGACTATTTTTACATTTGACGTGTCTCATTTGATGTTTTTGCAAGAGCAGACAGTCATAGACCTAATTTTGTCCTTGAAATCTTTTCAAACGGATGTCCCTCCATATCATGTTTCTGTGGAGAAGGCTATTTTGATGGTGGGAAGGACTTGACCTGCCAGGAGAGCCCTCCTGGCTTGTTGGAGGTTTCCATATGTGTGGGGAGCTGGAGGCTGATCAGGCCCTCTGTGAGAACAGGCTTGCATCTGCAGCACAGGAGGAGGAGCAGCTGGGGAGCTGTTACCCATCCTCTCATGGCTGGGGACACTGGAAACAGCAAATTCATTTTGCTGGCCATGAATGCAGACCCCTTTCTGGCAATAAAATCCTGTCCTGCTGCTCACCTGCTGTTCAAGCTTTGCTGGAGCGTGTTAAACACACACCAAATTCACTCAGCCCTCCCTAGCCCAGTCCATCCCCTCTCTGAGCCCTCTGGCACAGCTTTTTCACCCCCAGCACTGCATGGGGATTATTTTGGCATCCATCACACCAAGAAAAACCTCAGATGGGACCTCAGACATCCCCCTCCTAGCAGGGCAGCAGGTTCTGGTCTAGTGTTGTGGCCCAGCACCATCATCAGGACTCTTTGGCTTACACCTTCCTCCTCCCATCCCCTTCCTGAAGCGTGTGGGCTCATTCTGCACTCCACTGTGCTTTCTTGTTTTCTGCTGCTTTCATCCTTCTTTTCTTCTGCTCACACAGGCCTCAGACATCCCCTGTTGCTCCCTCTTTTTCTCGCTGGACAAGCATCATGGTGATGCCAAATCACGTTTTTGCATTTTCTCTTTTCTGTACTCTCTGTATTCTTTACACACATTTTTGGAGCTCTGTAGCCCATTTTTGCATTCCTAGCTAGTTTTCTCAGTCCTTTTCCCAGCCCTGATAGGTAGAAAGACAAAACATATTCCAAAGCCCCTACCCTACCTTGGCTGTGCCTGGGAACCAAGGCCAAACTCCAGCTCTTAGAGACACATTTTCACCAACAAACTTCAGTTCCAACTGAGGGGGGAGGATTTAGAAGGGCCTGAACTTGTGGGGGGGGGGAGTTGCCTCACCACTTGTGCTCCTAACTGGTGCTTTTTGTCAATTGTGCTGGTTTACTAAACTTGTGAATCAGCCTGTGGGGGTGGGCTTGTGTGGACACCTTCCATATCTGCCCCGGGAGGCCTCCAATAAAGACCAACCTCCATATATTGCCTCCTGTGCTGATGGTATCTCCACAGCGTGCATGGTTTCATCCCCAGATTCTTTAAGGCATCGGTAGCAGGGCTGCTGTTTGGTGTTAGCTCCTTGCCCCGGGCCCTGATGCTTTCTGCTCTGGGCCTGTGGCAGGTGCAGCAGAAGGTGATGAAGGTGGTGAGCTCCGTGGTTCACCTGGACACCATGGAGGCAGGAGCTGAGTACTGCGTGAAGGCTCAGACACACGTCGAGGCCATCAACAGGAGCAGCAGCTTCAGCCCCACACAGTGTGTGAGGGCACAGGGTAAGAGCCAGCCTTCCTCCTCCTCCTCCTCCTCCTCCACGCCCAAAGCTCTTCCTCTTGTTTCCAGCCCGAACCTCCTGAGTTTGGGAGAGGTAAAACAGGAGTCAGGAGAGCAGTCCCCCACACTGGAGTTTGCTGGGGAGAGATCTCCCCAGGGTGGGTGGAACAGCAGCCACACAGCCTTCAGGCTGACTGCAGTGAGTGCTTGGGCCCTGCAGTGTCTCTGAGAAGTTTGTGCTTGGTCCCTGCAGTGTCTCTGAGAAGTTTGTGCTTGTGATAGTAAAAGGTCTTAAAATCTTAGAAAATTTGGGGATTTAGAAAGAAAGTTAGGTTTGGAAAGCCCTGGGAAAAGTAGGCCCTGAGAAATGTTAGGCCTTGTGCTTGCTAAAGATCAGGTCAAACTGCACCTGTGTAGTCAGTATATGATAAATGATACAATTGTTAGATATGATTAGATATAATTAACGTTTAAAGAACATGCAGAACAATGTTAGGGGGCTGCAGGGGATCACAAGAAATCCATGCTTGGGTAAAAACAATGCGTACAATAGAACAATGTAAGTTTAATAATTAATATGTAAGTGATAGAGTATAAAATATGTTCAACTCAAAACCAAATCGGGTCAGATTTGGGTATGTGTACCCCTGACACCCAGAGCTCTTCAATAAAGCACCTTCATATAATCATCCCGTTCCTGAACTCTCACACTTGGTCCCTGCAGTGTCTCTGAAAGTTTGTGCTTGGTCCCTGCAGTGTCTCTGAGTTTTGCTGTTTCTGTCATTTCCAGGTGACACATCCATGTGGCTGGTTACTGCCCTCATCTCCTCTGCTGGCTTTGCTGTGGCAGCTTTAACCCTGCCTCTCCTTACCTGGAAAATAAGTAAAGTCTTCCAATATGCCTGCTGCCCTGCTGCTGTCCTGCCAGACACACTGGTAACTTTTTTTTTACTGTGCTTTATTGGTTTTTTAGCGTGCTGGGAACTCACAGGAGCATGGGGCAGGCAGAAGAAGCAGATTCCCAGGAAGCCTTGGCCATTCCAGTGTGAGGAGCTGATCTGCACTGATCTGAGCCCTGAACTGGCTGCACAGCTGTCACTGCCTTTGGCCCTGAGCCCTGGACAGGGAAGATGCTCCTGGTGCTTCTGGGGAAATGGTTTGGGAGGCAGGGCCTGACCCTGCCCGAGCAGCTGCTCCCTGAACCAGACAGCTGTGCCCCTGTCAGCGCTGCTCCGTGTCCCCTGCTACCCTCTCTGAGCTTCTCAGCAGCTTGCTAAGGAGAAATCAATCAAAAGCTCCTCAGGAATACGTTTCAATGTCCAGTTCAAGTGAGAATGCAGGTTAGCAGCTTCTGTGGCTGTGGGTATATGGGCAGCTGTGGCAGGAAGGAGGAACACTTTGTGGGAAAAAGGACAAGCAGACTAACTCAGCAGCCTGAGGGTGTTTGATTTGTTTTCCAGAAAGAATCCAAGCCCCCCACCCAGCTGATCCTGCGGGGCAGTGAAGAGGCTGAGCAATGTGACCTGATGGTGGTTGTGATGCCCTCAGAAGAAGTTCTCCAGCTGTGGATTCAAAAAGCACTTTAGAGCAGCCCAGAACACAAACAGCCTCTTTGTAGCACCAGAAGCAAGTAAAGGTGGCAGCTGCCAGTTCCTGTCCTTGCCCAGGAGTGGGCATAGGGTGACCCAAGCTCCCTTTTTCAGCCACATTGGTGCTCCCAAGGCAGAGTGTGGACCTGATTTTCCGAGTCTGAGAGAGTTTTTCACCCTATCAGTGTCTGATCTCTTCCCAAGAGACTTTCCCTCTTCAGATCAGACACTGACAGGCTGAAAAACTCTCTCAGACTTGGAAAATCAGGTCCACAGCAGAGCTCACCAGAGCAGTTCATGGAGAGCAGTCCCCTTGTCCCAAATCATTTCAGCCTCGGTGTTTTTACCTCAGTAAGGGCTGCTTATGTGGCTAAAGCCAGCTGGAATGAGCAGGGGAAAAGATGCAGACCCTGAAGTCACGTTCTTTGAAAAGGGCAGTGAGTGGATGTAGCATCCCAAACTGTGCACGGGACAGGTCACAATGCTGGGGCCACCAAAACTCGCAGACAGCACCATGAGGGATGCCTGGCTTCCACCAGTGCTTTGGAAGGAGTGATGTGGGAAACAGCCAGATTTCAGGAGTGTTTAGAGGGAGCACTGGGAACCTCCCGAGGAGCAGAGCTCTGCAAGAGCAACAGCATCACTGGCAATGTACAGCTCCAATATCACCTAGTCAGGGGGTCCAAAATGCAAAAGCTGTGCATACATGAAGGAAAAATTTATTTATTTTTAGCCTTTAGGGAGAAGAGAATTGCAGGTGAATTATTTGAAAGAGAGAGAATTGGAGTAGAGAAAGATTGGGAAAAGTCAGAGAAAGGTAGGCTCCAGAAACAGTAAAAGAATTGGGTAAAGAGAAAAAAATATGTGTGAATAGTGGTCAGGATTGTCCAGGGTGCCTCCTGGGCATCCCTGTGGCTCAACACCATACCTGAAACAGGACAGTGATTATTTCACACAAGGCAGATGTGCTGCTGTGGTCAGCAGAGCCAGGGTGAGGGGCAGATGCAGTGTTTATCTTGGCAAACAGAGGAATGTCAGGCTGGACAGATGAAGCATCACAGCATTACCATTTAGTGACCATCCCAGGTCTGACAATGCCATTATCCTCCAGGTATCTTGTCCTCTTAAGGAGAGAAATTGCAAAAGACAAGAGTAATTCCTTCTAAATATGAATAAAATACAGGTGTTCTGTATATTGCAACTATGGCTGTCACACTGGAAAAAAAAAATCATTTATCACCCTTTAAGCAGAGACTTGTGTCAGCAGGGCATGAAAAGACATAGTTCTGAGAAGCTTCTTTTGAAAGCTCTCAGTGGTTTTAATGACACGCAGAACATCTCGAAGAATTCACCTTTTCCAGTCCCATTCTTGCAACCTTGTGTGAGGCCATCAGGTGGCAACAAAGCACCGTGGAAAGGCAGGAGTGGCTCAGGAGCCTGTACCTGTGTTCTGTCCAGGCAATGCCTTCCCTGGCTCCTGCACCTCATTTTCCTCTAGCACCCCACTTGCTCGGTTTATTCCTGTCTCATTAGCTTCTTTCTGGGCACTATTGGAGTGCAGTACTTTGGTGTTGAGTTGTAAGGTTGATATTGCTGAATATTGAGCAAATTGCAGGGTAAGAGAATCCGTGCACATCTGGGCATTGAAGACTCAGCGATCATTATCAGTTTGTTGATAATTAGCTGGGAAATGCCTGCTTAAAAGCACCCATGAGATGCTGGGCCCGGAGATGACCTGGAAGCAGAGAGGAAAAGGGCATTTTTATGGTCTGATATGAAAGTGGCCAGCAGGTCTCACCCTCCCTAAAGCAAGCTGGAGCAGCAAGGGGAGGCAAGCAGTGAGTGACTGTGGCAGTGAACTGCAGTGTGTTTGGGGAGCACAGAACTTCAGCTCCTTGCAGGGTCAGGGGCTCTTGGCCATCAATCCCCTTGCACAGCTTTGCCCAGTGCTTGAATTTTCATGGGCAGCTCCACATCTCAGAGGCCTCGCTAGTGGGGCTGGTTTAGGGAGCTCCCCTGCCTCACATTTATCCTTATTTTTACCCCACTGATTCAGATGAGTTCAGTGTCTTGATTTCTACCACCCCACAGGGATGTCCCCATGCAGGAAATTATCCTTTGGCTTGTCCATGCTGTAGCTCCAAGAAGCCTCAGCTACTCGTCCTATCTCTTCCCCCAACACTGCTGCATTTTCAGAATCACAGAATCAGAATCTTCTGAGTTGGAAGGGACACACAAGGCCCAACAAGTCCAACTTTTAAATGAACAGCCCACATGGGGATCAAACCCATAATCTTGGCATTATTAGCACCATCCTCTAACCAGCTATGGCAACACCAGCAATTGTTAGGGGTATATAGAAAAGAAAGGAAATAAAAGGCCATTGAATGTGAAGGGCTTTAAAAAATGATTTTAATGTGTATTTTCCAGCTGCACATTAAGCGTAGAGCATATGTTTCTTCCTCACTTGCAATAACAGATTTTATGTCCTTCCTCATTGCCAATAAAGCAGTTAAACTGTTGTAGAAAACTGCACAGACAACATTAAACAAAAGAAACACCGAGAAAAAATTCTTACAGTGGGGACATGGGAGGGAACTGTGTAAGTGCCACTGCCACCTTTAGCAGACTATTCTCAATTTACATTAGGATATTCCAGTTTATGGCAGCTTGAAGCCAAATTTGAGGTGGTGATTGAAAATCCTTTTCAACCTCCTTTTAAAGAATGTGCTGCATTTTGTTGAGCCTGAAAATGATGGTAGAGAACAAGAGCAATTCCCCTTCCCACCAGGTACACAGGAGCAGGGTGGCATTGGCATAGGTAGCTGCCATCAGGGGCTCCATGATTCACTTTCCTGCTATCCAAAAGTTAATTTTGGCGTGGCAAATGCTGCCTTTGATAACTGATTCTGCTCCCACCACCACAATAGCGCCTTGCAAAAAGGCCCGGAGCAGTCACCACAATGAGGAATCTACAGATGAGCTTTGCTCTGTTCCTTTACCTTCTTGAGGTACTAAGTGGCTTCATTTCCTTCAAAATAAACTTTTCTACTTTTCCCAAAAAGCGTTGCATGGAAATAAAGCACAAGCCTGCATCGTCTTTTGAGCAAGTTTTGGTTTTGTGCTCCTGCACATGTGGGATGTGAGTCCAAAAACCCAACCTTTTTGTGAAGACTTTGTAAGGACAGAAGGAATGGTAATTAGAACAGTTTTTAAAGAACAAGTTATGAAGATCAGCATAAAAACTGTTGATTACCTGAGCTTTTGAGCAGAGTTTCGTATTGCTACATTGACAAGAAAGCAAGGAATTCAATTATCTGTTCCATGACACTAACAGGCTGCAATATAGGATAATTTTTCCTCTGAAGTATATTTCATTAGAAGTGCCTTGTTTTTTTGCAATTTTTATTCAGTCCAGCATTTCCCTCTCCAATCAAATGGAGATCTTTAACTTGATAAATTACCATTTTACTTGTTTCCTGCATTACTGCTTTATATTTTGTCTCTTACAAAATCTAGAAGTAACCAAAAGCACTGCTTTGACTGCAAATCACTTCAGTTTCTGGTGAAGCTGGTACTCTGTCCTGCAAATAAACTGCTACAAAAATAATAAACATCCAAACCAGAGACAGATATTTATTGTTTAAAGAATTTGCCTACAGATGATTCTGTTGCTATTACAGTGCAAAACTGCAGAAAGAGAAAATTACTCATTTCATATCTCTTGTGGTGCTCCTCAATAAACAGAACTACTAAAAAAAAAACCCAGAAATTACTAAATCAAGATATAAACGCAATTAAAAGATGGCAAGGTTAAGTGAAATTGCCCAAGTAAATACTGCACACGGAGCCCTAATTTGGTTTCCTGCAGCGCATGGGCTATAATTTAGCTGTTATTACAGAAATGGCCCCGTCTGAGGATTTTAATGTCCATGATTTGCTTGGGATCAACTCAGACCTTTGTTAAGAGCCAAGGACATTCTGTCCCCATGCAGACAGTGGTCCTACCACAGACACCCTGCCCACCCCACAGCCCCAGCCAGGGGTGGCAGCAGCTTCCACTGCAGTTACACATCCTCAGTGCTGGAATCAAGCAGAGACACGAGGACACAGCCTGAGCTCTGCTGATGTGGCTGCACCTGATGGTGCTGAGGGCTGACTTGAGGAGGGGCCTGGGCAATATCTGATTTGTAAAAAAAAAAAAAAAAATTTATATTATTCTTTCTTTGATCAGACATCTGAACCAAGAGCGTGAGGTCTGTGTAAAGAATGAGCAGAGGTTTAAGTCAATACATTCTACCTGCCAAACAATTCCCATTTGGCAGAACTATTTTAACAGAGTGCTCTATATCTGTGTCAAATCCTGCAGTCTCTGTTGAAGGTGTTGTATTAACACACACAAATATCAGGGGGCTGTGAAACCTGAATGACTTAGGCACTGACAGTGAGAAAAGGAAGGTCTCTTCAAAAATGCACACAACCTCCGAGGTGAAGTGGGGAGGTAGAGTGTTCCCTACCTGAGACCTTGGAGGATAGAAATAGAAATAGAGAATAGAGAATGGATAAACTGAGAATAGAAAGGACTTTTCCCCATCCAAAACCCAGTCAAGGAAGGGGTTGGAAAGAGGAAATATTCATGACCAGCTGTGAAGCTGGAAATACAGCTCCCAAGCTGAGCAGTCAGTATGATACCGCTGAACTTTTCCCTCCTGTAGTTTCATTCCCATTTAAGTTCCCAGAAGATTCATAACATTTTCCCTTTGAAGAATTGCTCTCTCATTTTGCCCCTTTGCTGAGGCCAGAGAGTTCACCTGGACCTGTGAGAGTGGTCTTTGATACCAGGCAGCTGCAGCTCTGTACTTATTATCATATGTTGTGTGGTCTCTAAACCAGCCTTTCCCTGCACCATGCCTCCTGCTCTCTGCTTTCACTCTGCTGAGTGTCCTGCTCGTCCTCCAGGTTGCTCATATATCTCCTCCCTCCTGCTGCTCTCCAGACAGGCTGATGGCTAACATTTTCCCTGTTTCTGCCAACTCCCAGCCTTGACTCCCTCTTCTGCCATCTGCTACAACTTCATTGTGAAATTTGACATTGTTCGCAGCACTCTGCTGGGTTTGGTGCTGCCTCAAAAGTCCTGCAGTTTGGAGGATGCCTCTCCCCAGGACACTGTGTGCCATTTTGGGACAGTTTAACACAGCCCTTCTCAGGCAGTTTGGCATTTTCTTAGTCACCTTTGCATCCTCATTCACTTTCCTTCCAATGCACTGTGAAATGCTGTCCTCAGGCAGGCAGAAGCTTTTCATGCACCAGCCTGTCTTCTGCCTGCTGACCTTTTCTCTTCCCCCTGGAACAGTTATGCAATTACCTGCCTTTGCTCTGGAGATCTTTGCCACTATGTTTTGCTTTTAGTATTGATCTCTTGATTTTTAGTTTGGTTGCTTTGTCTCCTGCTCTACTCCTGGGAGAGAGATTTCTGCTCAAATTGAGGTTTGCTGCTGAAACGTTTAAAACCTGCTGGCTGTATGTATAAATCTGCCGTGTTCTGTAACTTCTCTCTCAATGTAGGCCAAATGCAGTGTCCTGTTACATTCAGCTTCCAGAGCCAGCCTGGCCACCCTGCCTTCCTGTGGCAAGCAAGCCTTGTCCTCACCTTCAGCATCACTGCCCTGATGGGACCATGGGCACATCCCAGGGGCTCTTGGAACACACCCCCAGTGACACAACATGCACCCATCTTCTGAAAATCTCCATGGCCCCATCAAAAAGCCATCCTTGCACATGAGCAGCCTCTTCTACTCTGCTCTGGTAAAGTCAATTTCCCCAAGTGCATTTTGCACAGGGTCCAATTTCTGCAGAGAAGATACAGAAACATGAAGCTCCAGGTACAGAGCATGCTCAAACAGATCTCCCTTATCACTCTTTTCTGAACTAAAATCCCACTGCAAATCATAATCTACCTCTTAAAATGCCTGGACATATGGATGAATCCTAATTATGGGAAAAAAAAATACATGGACATACAAATAAGCAACATTATTCTTCGTATAAATGACACCAAATGCACACAGTTTACTCCTTTGCCAGGCAGAAACAGAAAACTACAGACATTTAAATGTTCTAGCTTCTGTCCCTAAAAATACATTGATAAGAGAAGGGAAAAAATGTCTTAAAAAACACAGCAAGCAACTAATATAAATTAATTCATCTGTAGTTAGTGGATTAGGCACTTCCAAAAGCACAGTGGGATATGACAATATATAACTTTATATGAATATAGAAATCAGATGCCTGGGTTATAAGGAGCATGTTTGGGTAATGAACCCTTTGACATTTCTCAGCACTGCTCTCTTTGTTGTGGCCACTTTTGCTCTGGGGCTGCTTTCATGCCAGGCCAGGGTGCCCAGGAATATTGAAAGACTCACAAGCTGCCATTAAAGCTTTGATGTGCAAGAATGCTTCTTTAATTGCAGCAATAAAGAATGAAGTGGGTTCTGCTTTAAGAGTTCTTCTTAAGTAGGCCTGTAGCTTCTTGTAACAACTTAGACATTTCAAAGTTAGCCTTAACAAAGAGCACTAAATACTAATTAAACTTTCATCTTAATCCAATCCAACTGTCAATTGTGAGGAAATAATTCTTGTAACTCTAAGACAGAAAAATTTCTAATTCAGGATCAAAAGTAGGACTGCATTTCATCCACTCCCACCATGGGTGGGCACATGTAAATAGCTCGTTGGGAATTGCCTCAGGAATATCGTGCTTGCTCAGCCCTGACCTTTTGGACTGCCTCTTCAGGCATCTTAGCCAGTCAGCTCTCCCAGACACGAATCAAGACATGACTCAGACCTCTCACTTCTTTTCATCTCCCTTCCTCTCCACCAGCTGCTGGAAGAATTAAACTCAGATAGGAGATGAGTACAAATCTGCTGGCATCCCAGTGTCCCCCAGTTTGGCACAAGGAGCGGTGCTGGATGATGGATGTGGCGCTGTTTGGGACAGTCAGGGCTCCCTGTGTGTGGCAGGAGGGTGCCTGCAGTCCCTGCTGTCCCAGCCAGGATGGGCAATCTGGGCTGGTCACAGCATCCACAGCACATCCTCTGCACAGGGCACTTGGGGATGTCTTGTCCACTGCCCACTGACTCTGGAGCGAGGAAATTGTTATGGGAGAAGCAACAGTTTATTTTACCATTTTCATTTCTGTCAAGACTGCTAAAGGTCTTTGCTACAGTACTGTCAGAAACCATTTTTTGCCTGGTTGCTTTAGGAACAGGGAGAATTTCCTGAGCAATCTTCTTGTCCTTGCCTAAATGCCCACAAGCAAAGTACGTGAAAGACACGCTGCAAGTCGTTAAATTAAAGTGATGACCAAGATTTCCTGTGGTATCAAGATTCAGCCCACCTTCACATGGAGCCCTGGGGGCTCCCCATTTGCTGAGGGCTTCGTTTCTGTCAGAAAATCAGGATTATCTCTCAGCAGCGTCTCTGAGAGGAGCAGGAGCGTCCAGCCCAGCCTGTGTGCTCAGAGTGCCAAGCATCACTGCTGAACACAGACTGCTTTGGGTCAGAGAGCCAAGAAATAGATAAAAACCGGGGTGAAAACAGCAAAAAGGAGCCTGAGTCTGGAGTGGAGAGAACACAAACTTCACAGCTGGGTAAAACAATCTGGGGAAATATGGACAGTATTTCCATCCCAACCCTCTTCTCCAAATATCAAAATAAAGCCCATTAAGTGACTGAGGTAAGGAGAAACTTCCCACTTTGCTGGACAGAGCTGAGACAGGGGAGGTATATTGGGGGCACAGCAGTAATTCATATTTACCATGAAAAAGATGAAAAAAGATGAAAAAAGATGAAAAAATATGAAAAAAGATGAAAAAATATGAAAAATATGAGCTTTGCAGAGTTCTATGTCAAGGGGGGAAAATTCCAAGTAGAAAAGGAGATTTTGAGCCATTTGCAAGACAAATGAATTGAACAAATGAATCCTGTGGCTCCGTGGTGCTGAGGAAAAACAAAGAGGAGCTGCCAGGAGGGGTCCAGTCCAAAGTGGCAGAGGAGCTGGGAAATCCAGTCCAGTGACAGCTGAGAAGGACAAAATAAACACATGA